TGAGCCAGCCTCTTCTGCGCGTGGCGGCTGCCGCGAATGGTTGTCTGTAGCGTGGGTCCCCGGTGCTCGGCACCGCGGGCTTCGCGCCGGGGTCCCACGTGGAAAGTCAGGCGTTGGCGACGCCGCCTTGGGTGTGTGTTAGTGTGTTGGGTGTGTTAGTGTGTGTTTATCATGTTATTGTGTGTTTAGTGTGTCACTGCGTTATGTTGTTTGTATGGTAGCGTATTAATTAGAATTGATGTATCATTCGGCGGACGATATTGTTGTCTAAATTAGTTAATAAATGTATGTATGTTGTGTGCTTTGTACCGACCGCGTCTGCTGTGTCCGTTCCACTCCAAGAGCGTGGCGTGGCAATGCGCTCGTTCGCCTCGCGGAGACCCCACACTGGCGCTCGTTCGCCTCGCCGAGACCCCGCACTGGCGCCCAACGTGGGCTTCTTGGAGCATCAATCGACAGTTTTTGCGGTTCAATACAGGGATTTCGTTAGAGTTGGAGTAGAGTAGGCCTAGGGGGGACTTCTTTGCTAGCGTCGGTGGTGTGCTTTGTTGAGAAGCGAGGAGATTGGTTTTGTAATGTGTTTGAATTTGTCGGCAGGTTGACTTTCTATTTATTTATTTTTTGCTCGCAAGTGTTGTTATATTTTGTTGTTGTTAGTTTTCGAAAACGTTGTTGAATTAGGACGAGAGCCATGCGGTCCGCATCCTGAGGTGAGCAAGGCTTAGAGCACGTGGTTTGTAGGCCAGGCCCGAAGCGAGTGAGTACGGAAGCCTCGTGGATGGTCCGATTTTCTGTAAATAGCTTCTTCTATATCTTTGGGCTCAGGGAGCCGGGCGTCGTTGCTGTCTGGTATTGCGGCTCAACACCGAGGCGTCGTGACACCGCCCGGGGCGGTGGACGCCGATCGCTCGGTAAGCTGCTGTGTGCGGCGAGCGATAGGGCCACCTCACAGAGTGGACGTCTCCTCGCGGCTGCCTCTTCTTCGCCTAGGCTTGGTGCTGGGTTGTTGCCGAGCGACTCATTAGGCCTAAGGCTCTGCGCAGCCGCCTGTCGCACGTGGCACAACTAGGTGGATCGTGTCGTTGAGGTGTTGCGCTCTGCTTCCCTCGCTTTTTTTTTTCTTGTGAGCGCGAGTTAGGAAAAGTGATTTTTGTTTTATTTTGATGGGCGTCTCTGCCGCCACCGATGTATTTACCTAGCCGTACTGACCAACGTACCACGTGGACGAAAATCTTGAAGCTCCCTTCCCGAGGGCCTGCTCGATTGTTTTCTTTAAATTTTTTTTGTTGTTATTGATGTATTCAGCGGGAGGGATGTCATCCACGGCCGGCTGTCCTGCACATCGTTAGCGTCGCTGGCCAGGAATGCGGTCGTGAGGTCGGGCGATGGAGATGCCTGGGACCTGCGCAACTGCCTGCAGTCCGGCGCCCTCGCGAGTGCTGGTCGCAACTGGAAGACGTGTCGGCGCTAGCGACGGATCGTCGCGCCAACGGCAACGTTGCTGTTGCCGTCGGCGACAGCAACGTTGCCGGGGCCAGTACTGAGGCCAGTACGAAGGCAACGTTGCTGTTGTTGTCGGCGACAGCAACGTTGCCGGGACCAGTACAAATTTGCCGGGGCCAGTACTGAGGCGAAGTCTAGCCAGACAGTGCAGCAGTGTCGACCAGCGGCGGTGTCGTGGTGCAAGGACATTATGGTCGTGCGATATCATTTTTTTTTTTGTTAAAGCTTGTGTAGCTAATTTTCGATTTTGGGATATGGTTTGATTTAAGGTTGTGGAAATGTGGGGGTGCTGACACCCCCCCCCCCCCTGTAAGGTTGTCTGCGCCGCGTAGCGCACGTGTCTCGCCCCAAGGCTTTGTTTCGGTGGTGACCACCGCCGGGCGATAGATGGCGTTGTGTTCGCGTTGAGTACCACTGTTTCTAGAGTGGTAGCGCCGGCGATGGCCCCTGGCGGAAGGCAGGCCTTGGTGGTGGGCGAGAGCTGAGCGAGCCTCTTCTGCGCGTGGCGGCTGCCACGAATGGTTGTCTGTAGCGTGGGTCCCCGGTGCTCGGCACCGCGGGCTTTGTGCCGGGGTCCCGCGTGGAAAGTCAGGCGTTGGCGACGCCGCCTTGGGTATGTGTTAGTGTGTTGGGTGTGTTAGTGTGTGTTTATCATGTTATTGTGTGTTTAGTGTGTCACTGCGTTATGTTGTTTTATATGGTAGCGTATTAATTAGAATTGATGTATCATTTGGCGGACGATATTGTGGTCTAAATTAGTTAATAAATGTATGTATATTGTGTGATTTGTACCGACCGCGTCTGCTGTGTCCGTTCACTCCAAGAGCATGGCGTGGCGATGCGCTCGTTCGCCTCGCAGAGACCCCACAAGGTATATATTCTGGGAGTGTCTGTATAATATGTTTGTTTTCATGAAGAGTTTTCATGTAGTTCAGTAACACCGAAAGTTGGGCGAGTTGGTGATTGTTCATGATTACAAATAAGCAGCGCACGACGTTTTACACAAAGAGAGACGATAGGGACACCGCTGCTCCCTATCGTCTCTCTCCCTAGAGCAGCGATAGGGACACCGCTGCTCCCTATCGCAGCGGTGTCCCTATCGTCTCTCTTTGTGTAAAACGTCGTGCGCTGCTTATTTGTAATCATGAGTTTTCATGTATGATGTCTACCTGTAATGCTTTATTTGCAGTGACAATTATGTACATGCATAATCTGATTTTTCTGGTTGCTCTATTGTTTGTATACTCGCATCGCATGCAAACATGTACACGCATTGAATGCGCATGGGAGTAGGAGCCTCTGTCAGGCAATACGGCCTTTAGCTCTTACTCCTCTTTCTGTATCAGAAAGAAATAAAATAAACTTCAAACTTCAAACAGAACGCTTTAACCGTATCCTTGGAGATATGCTTGCCATGTACGCCTCTGACGACCACACTAATTGGGACCAAGTGCTCCCTTTTGTCACGTACACGTACAACTCTGCGCCACAAACAACCACTGGCTTTTCTTCTTTCTTCCTCCTGTACGGACGTGAGCCATCATGCTCCATGGACACCATTCTCCCTTACAGGCCCGATGTCTCCGAAGCGACGCCTGTTTCCAAAGCAGCTGCTTATGCCGAAGAGTGTCGTCAACTCGCTCGTTCATTTACCGCACAGGACCAATGGCACCAGAAAACTGACCACGATGCCTCTGCGTCTAGTGTCCACTATAACCCAGGAACGCTGGTTTGGCTCTGGGTCCCGTCTACCCCTCCCGGTCTTTCCCCGAAGCTTTCATCGAGATACCATGGCCCCTACCGTGTGGTGCGACAAACATCTCCTGTCAACTATGAAGTTGAGCCCATTGATCCACCTTTGGACCAACGCTGCCGTGGGCGTGAAACAGTACACGTATCACGCCTCAAACCGTGCTACGACCCCCTTGTCGTGTCATTTCCTTAGGTCGCCAGGTTGGCTCCTTTCTGCGCGGGGAGTAATTGTACCGAAGCATAGTGGCGCCAGCTCTGTGCCAGCGTGAAAGAAGATGTTGACGTCCGTGTGTGGCTCATGCTGGCCGGGTTCCTGCCTGTACCAGCTTGTTGCGGCTAACTTTCTCGAATAACAACCTGTGTTTTTACGCAACCTTGCTCGTTGCAGTTCATAGACTGTGCGTGGTTCGTAGGTCGGTGGCTAGCCCTCGCCACATCTGCTGTACGAAACTGTTCGTCGCTGTGCTTAAAATTTTTCTGCCCGTGCGCTTTTTTCATTGAAAATTACGGAATATGCACTCAATAATTCATTTCAGTCTATCTTAATTTGTCTGATTATAATTCACTGCTTCATTCAGTATTTGAGTGCGAGATCAGATATGCTACTAGAGTGACGACTGCTGGTCATTCAGGTAGAGCGTGAGAAGAAGCGGAAGGATGTGGTAGATGTTTGTGACAAAGCCGTTTGTGGTGGTGTACGATGCACGTCTCTATTGGAACATTGCAGCATTATGTGATGTCGACAGTCTCGGTTGTGATAGCTACAGGCTTGGCACTGTGTTATTTTTTTGTTGTTGTTCGGAAGTAATACATGTGCAGCACACAAGGGTGTCAAGCAGGCATGCTCCCTGCGAGATAATTCCACAATATTTTAGCATTACTTTAATCGGCAACACTTCGCTTACGTATTGTCACCGTGTTGGACGTTAAAATATTCGTAAGAGCTTCATATGGTTGGTTTCACCAAAGCTAAAACAAGCGTACGTTTGAATGCAATCTGCTTGTGCTCTTGTGAAACTGGATATTTTACGATAATATTATTTTAATCGAGTCGGTGAGGTTAAAACAATGCTCAGAGGATGAGGAAAAAATAACAAAATAGATTCACAATTCATGAGACACTCATTTTCCTGTTGTTCCTATATTATATGTCTTACTAGGTTGGTAGTCAAGTACGCTTTCATGTGTAAATACAGAAAAAAGAAACCTTTTGGATAAAGCCCATTTGTTGAACTGCAACAATTCTATGTCATACACAATCGAGTGCAACTTTTTTCATGTTTAAGTGTAAAGAAGTGTACAACCAGAACATGCCCCACTTCCAGATAGAACATAACTAGGACCAGCAGCTTCCTGTTCAATTTGTGATGGTCCCTGTGATGGCCAATTGAGCTACCTACTGGAATTACTTGCAAGTGGTACCAACTGTTCCCAGTTAAACATTTTTATATAAGATACTCTGGTGGAGTTGTTACCTTCATACCACCAGGTCAGAAACTGTCTAAAATGTGGCAGATTTAAGGCACAAGTGTAAATAGGGCCTGCAGCTTCTGGTGCCATATTTCACATCTACTTAATAATAATTTGTTCGCTGATTAGTTGTGTGTAACAGCAATGACTCATTTTTTATGCGCACACCATTCTGGGTCACTAAGATCACCGTTCCACATGGAACAATTACCTCTTCAAAAAAATGAATGGTTCCGTCTCGTAGATGCCACTAAAGCAGTTTTGTGCTTTTTCAGCTCTATTGCGCAGTTCTGGAGTACGAGGATGGCAGCTGCTGTGCAGAGCGTCAACTAGAAATTGCAGAAAAGCTTTTCACTGAGGTACAACCCTCGGAAGAACGCTTCATCCAAATGGTGGGTGTGCGAAAAGGTCGCTCCCTGGTGCTTCGTGTGCTGCCCAAATTAAAAGTTGTGAGTTTTCCTCTTTTTCCGTCCTTGTAACACATTGCAATCATTTGTTTGTAGACATTGTTTGTTGCCTTCCACACTGATGGAGATGTTGGTGTTGTTCAGCACTTCTTTGCTTTCTTGGCCTCTGTACAGGCTTTCTGCCTAATTAAAAAATATTTTTGAATTTGTTGAGCATTCAGGCTATCAGGCATGTGTCAAGAGTGTCTCAGGAACATGAAGGCACCATTACCTTGACATGGTAAAAAAATCACCGGAGTTGGCCTTTAACAGCTCAATTGACAACAAGCTTCTTTCTGAGCACTAGAGAGACATTGTGTGTGCACAGTACATCCAGTTATGCCAAGAAAAACTGCATGAACTGCAAAATTGTGAAAGAGACTGTGAACCTCTTGACGTTCTTTTCATGCGTCTTACGAAGCATGACCTGTCATTCTCAATCGTATAGGAAGTGCCAAAGGTCCTTCTCCTGCTTAGCCATGGACAATCTTCAGTATGACGAGGTTTCAGTGTGAACAAGTAGATCGTGATCGAAAAAATGGCATAACCTCGAGCTACAGAGCATGCCAGAAAGAAAAACAAAGCTAAAAAATACTCTGAAGTGCTTGCTAGAGTCATCGAATCGCTTTCCAGAAGACAATGAACTAAGAAGTGATATTAGTTGTCTTGTGAAGGCCAACAGTTTCTGTCAAACAGCTAAAGAAAAAAAAGCAAAGATAGCCGCTATTGAAAAAAAAGTTAGTGCATAAGTTGAGCTTTTTAAGTCGTGTGAAAGTAAAATTGTGTTAATACTCCTTGAATTTTTCCTCTTTGAATCCTTAAAATCCTTGAAGTCCTTGCCAAATGTTGTGTGCAAACCTTATTCATTTTCATTGGGTCTCTCATCAAAACTAATTCTCAAATCGCTAGAGTTACTACCGAATTAACATCTCCACACGTTTGCCCATCGTAACGTAAAGTGTAAGTCTAAATTTAAAATTGTTCCAGAGGTAATTTCCAAAAAATGCTTGGCAACACTGCATGCTTGCTGCCTGAGGCCCACATCTCATACACTAAGTGCATTATGTGCCCTTTCAGATTCTTCATGCCTGTTCTTGACTGAACTATTTCTTTTTACGCACTGCCACAATACATGCCAGAAAATATGAAACAGTTTTCAAGAGAGTCACTTAGTACATCCCACCCACTTTGAGGTTGCTGTGTCATAAGGATTGAGCAGCTGTGTATGTTGCAGGAACACCAGGTAGCAACATTGGCAGCCCTGCTGCGTCACCTATCGTGGTTACAGCACAAGGACAGGCACGATGGCACCCTGGAACGAGGGCTGCGCAGTGCCTTGGCAGTCATTGAGCACGCTTCTCTCAATGACCTCATTCAACTGGCGGCCAGCTTGCTCATGAACCCAGACGCTGCGTTTCCCAGCACAGTGAGTTTATGACATTTCCAAGGGCTGTGTTTTTTCCTGGCCACCCATGTGAAAATGTTCCTAAAAGGTTTACTTGTTTGGGGTGGGGGTGGGGGGAGGTTGTAGATGATGCTTCTTGACACGCGCAACCGCATTGTTATCACTGTTTGCATTGGCCTGTTCTCTTTTCTTTAGTATCGAGGGCCATCGCCGTTGATATAGAAATCCCGATAATACTTGGAATTGCAATTTACTCTCGCACCACTTCGTGAGTCATTTGAAGCGCCCACGCACCACATATTGCATGCTTCAGACACATTGCATGCTTCAGACACCCACAGCAATGTGATCATGCAAACAGAAGTGCGGGATCACATTTATGACAGACGTTCAGAAGCCTGCTTAAACACAAAAAGAGGCATGCCAGTTGCACAACGAAGCGGCCATCGTCGACCAATCGCATAGACAAGCCCACATGCTTTCGTTGCTCACACCAAGCGATGCATCTTACACACATATCACCACGCTGTTTGTGCATAGAGCAGTGGCAAATTATTGTTCATGAAAGCTGTGCCATGTGATGGGGTGCAGATAAAGTACGGATTGTGCATTTTTGTACAATAACAGACTAAAATATTTAACAAGTGTAGCTGAACCTCGTTAATATGTACAGTAAAACCTCATTAATTTGAGCTTGATTTTTTCTAAATCCAGCCTAATTCGAAGGATTTCTGCAGTCCCATATTCAGCAATATAAGTAGTTTGAAGTGGTGGTCGGCAACAGTCTAGTTAATTCAGAAACATTAGGTGCCATGTGCTTATTCCCGATCAGGATTTTCCCACTGTGGTGTAGCTATACAGTATAATCTTGATGATTATGTTACGGTAAGAGTTCTTTAATGTACAGGCGGAATGATGGATGGTTGCATAAGGAAGGCCTGGCACAGAACGCAGTCACTTCTTTTTCCTCTTCTCCACTTTGACGAAAGTCCCGTATCACTTCCCCCGTTGCAGACAATGCCCACTGGGCGAGGTAGTCAGTGTCGCGCGTGGTATGGCTTCATACAGGAGATACGTACGATGTCAGTTTTCCTGGAGCGACGGCCAGAAGACGTGAGGCATATTATCACGTACGTAAAGTCACTAAGCCGCGACAAAACGGCGAAGGGACTTGTATAGCGGGCCAAAAACTTTTGATTACAAGTCATGCTTGCGGCATGGACTCCACAGCCACATCATATCTTCTTCGCTGTACGATACGTTTCGATGCCGCTTATCGTAGCGAGCCTTTGAACGGTCTTGGGCTGCGAAAGTCCGGAGATCCTCGATGCGTCGTGCCTCCTCTCCACAACAGAGTGTCTCTACAAGGCGTAATATCCCGTACGTAAAGTCACTAAGTGCATTTTCTGGATTTTCTTGCCCTGAAAACAGGAGAATTGTGTCAAGGGTAGTACGTGACTCACAGATGTAGAAAAGGTAAAATAGGCTAAAGCCAGTGGTCTCTTATAGTGCAGTGTTGTAGGCGTTGGTGATAAACGGTAAAACTGTGTCCCAGTTTTTATGCTTGGACTCAACATACATAGCGAGAATGTTGATGAGCACTGGAAGGCATGTCCATAAAGTGCGACACCTTGCCCTGTCGCATAGGGTTGCCCCAGACTGAAGTGCCATCGTCACAGTATGCATTGCTAGCAGAAAGCTCGTCATCACCGTGTTCACACAACGGGTACTGGCTGCACCTTTGTGCTGTCTGAAGCTGAGTAGGCGTATTCTACAACAAGCAAATCAACAGTCAATGCGTATGCAGAGTAGACAACTGCTGTGCGCAACTAGCCAGCAGACGTTAAGTTCCATGCAACCGCACTTATTTAATAAAAAAAAATGGAAGGAAAAAAATTGCTGAGTTGTAGACTGCTGTACATATGTATCCTGCTCTGTATATCAGTATATCAGTGCTGTGTATATCAGTTGCTGTGTATCCAAGACCCCGCAGTAGTTCCGAAATGCTTTTTGTTGTCACCACTGCGTGCCGTCAGGTGGTCGTGCGAGAGGGCGAGAATTTTTTGTGCACTTCGGCAAAAAGAAAGAAATGACTTTGTAACAGGCACTTTAGGCAATATCTGCTGTGGCACTGTATTTATTCGAAGTAGTTCCTTTGTTTATGACGATGGCACTCGTCGGGAGATGTAAATTTGTAGCTGGTGTAGAAATGAATTCGTAACAGGCACTTTAGGCAATATCCGCTGTGGCACTGTATTTATTCGAAGTAGTTCCGTTGTTTATGACGATGGCACTTGTCGGGAGATGTAAATTTGTAGCTGGTGGTTAAAGGGCCAGTCAACAGGCTCAGACTTTTTTTTACACCTCCCAAACAAGCTCAGTAATTCGTAGAGATTTTTTTTTCTAGTAGTGTATATTTGATTCACTCTATTTAGTATATACTAAATAAAAAAAAACATATATTGAACACTGTGCGAGCTGAAAGGTGCGCTTCCACACCCCCCCGACAGCGCAGTGCCCAGCGACTTCCGCGCGGCACCACCACGTTTCTGCCAAAGCCCGAAACGCTCGAAAAAAGTAAGAGCGAAAGGGCTGCACTAACTTGCAGAACTTTTTTTTTTTTTTTCGTTTCTCTTTCTCATGCTTTTCCACGTACCCGTCGGCTCGGAGAGCAGGAACGAAGGAGCCGACATCTTCCTCTTTTCGTTTTTTTTTTTAATTTTTGTTGCTGTTTTGCGAGTTTTAATCAGCTAACCACAGTTCGTACCTTTTGCTGTTGCCCTCATAAATGGCCATCGCCTCGCGAGCGCTTTGTTGCTTCCACTGTCATGTCGCCTACCTATTACCGCATGTGCAGCATTTTTTTTTTGCAAGCATGATGTGCAAATTTGCTGCGGACTTCTTGAATCGTCGACTTCTCGTGTAGCTATAGCCAGCGTCAAGAAGCGCAAGACCCTTGACTTTGCAACGAAGTTAAAGGATATTCAGCGATTTGAGGCGGGCGAGAAATGTTCGACGGTCGCGGATGACTTCGGGATACCACGGAGCACTCTGAGTACCTTGTTGAAAAGCAAGGCAGTTATCAAGGCAAAGGCGGCGAAGCAGCGAACGTCGGGAGCCTGTCATGTGCACGTTTGTGCCCACGGGAATGTAGAAAAGACGCTTTATGCCTGGTTTTTACAAGTGCAAGCGAAGAACATTCCGGTGGATGGCCCGATGATAATCGCCAAGGCCATATGGCTTGCTGTTGCACTCGGTGAAACAACTTTGCCGCCAACCCTGGTGGCTTCACCGATTAGGCAACGCTACAACAGGGTAGGCAAAACCAATTCTGGCGAAAGCGAAACTGTCTGCAGCCAGGACATCCAACTGTAGATGATGAACGAGTGGCCGGAAATCTACACGAAGTTTTCTCCCGCGAAGAACTTCCATGTCTGCGAGACATGAAGAAGGACACAGTGGTGAATTGCTTCGGCACGGTAGGCTTCGACACAGCGGAACTTGCAAAAACCGGTGAAGACGACGACGAGCACATATATGACGCGTTTTGTGAGTTGTCATCCCGCTTCCCGGCAGCAGTTCCACATGAAGTGTCTGCGGACGACTTCATGGAAGTGGACTGCAAAGAAGAGGATCGTCCAGACGAGGCGCTCACAAAATGTGAAAAAACAGGCAAAACAAATGAGACCCTCAGTTGCCATGCAAGAAAAACTTACAATCTCAGGAAAGGCACTTCTTTTTCACAAAGACCGAGAGAAAGCGTGCTGACGCAGTTTAGCCCTAATCTGCAAATCCTCTCTGCTTCAATAGTCTCCTTTGTCACTTTATTTCTGTTTTCACCTAGAATATCCGTACCATGAAAAAGTAGTTTGCAGCCCCACATCCTGCAATGCAGTGCCGAAAAACCATCGTGACCATTTCTTGCATTACAAGCATGTTGACGGAGTCGGTCATTAATACAACAGCCAGTTTGTTCTATGTGGTGCTTGCCGCATGATAGAGGTATCTGATGAATTACATTTTCTGTGCACGTGACAAACAGCATTATGTGCCTTTTAGAACATCCTGGTTTTGCATATGAAACAACCTTCATACAACTATTAGAGCTTTTACGGGGCAGAAAATACCACCTTTACATTGGCCCGCTCCCCAACTTTTTTCAAGTGGTGGGAGGTTTCGTGTAGATAAGGCACTATGGCGAGCTTCTGACGCCTTACTGGCTCAACATGGAGGAGGGCTTGCTGCAAGGATGGATGCTTCTTGACCAGATTTCCCGCAACAAAAACCTGTACATTAGAGGGGTAGCCAGCATTTAAAAGTCTTTCTGCTTGTTCTTTAAAACTAGCTGCCATTAGATGGGGACTAGACTTCTTTAAGGTGTTACTAAAGCGCAAGTCTACAATGCCTCGTTATACGAGCTTAGTGTGGCTGGAGTGATATGGAAGCAAGGGTTTGTTGCTCCTTGGTTTGTACGACTAACAAGTGTGGTCTAGGTGAAAAATGAGAGCAATATCTAAAAATTTGAGAGTGTTATTGACAGGCAACTCGCAAGTTAAAACAAGGGTTTAAACCGCTCCTTGATGAAGTTGAGGATATCTAGGGCACAAGAAGTGGGATCACAGTCAAGAAGAATAAAGTACTCGTCAACAAATCTAAGAATGCGCATGATTCAGTTGTCACTAAGGTCACCGAAAATGGTTCTGTCGAGCTTGGCTAAAAACAAGTAACTTAAAGGGCCACTCATCAGGTTTGACAATTTTGAGCTGACAAGCGCAATGCGTAGACGAGGCGTTCGTGATCATGTCTGCCAAAATTTGCAACGCTACGCGCCGCCGAAATGGGTCAAAATTTAAGATGAATGCTGCTCCCCCTCCCCTCTGCTGGCGCACGCCTAGAGAATGAGGGCATGACGTGGACGTATGAATGGCCCTACGCACATTGCAATGCAGTGACCTTGGTCAGCTACGTAGACGACTCTGCTCTGACGTCAGCAGTATACCACGTGGCATGGCAAAAATTAT